GCTGTTGCATGGTGGTGACGAAGTCGTGTGCGGCTTGGACGTGTGCCGGTGTAGTTGGCTGCTGTGGGGTGAGTGGTTCCCGTCCGTAACACAGGAAGAAAGGTGTTTTCCCTGTGGCCGCATGCGAGGCGTTGTTGTAAGCGAACTCTAGGGTCGGTAACTGTGTGTCCCAGTGGCTGATGTCGTCCTTGCAAGCTGTGCGTAGTAACTGTTCAACCACCTGATTGAGTCGCTCTGTTTGTCCGTCAGTCTGGGGATGGTATGCTGAAGACATCGCAAGCTTAGTCCCCAACAGTCCCATAAGCTCCTTCCAGAACTTACTCGTGAATTTTGGGTCTCTGTCTGAGATGAGTGTAGCGGGGATGCCGTGGATGGTGATGATGCGGTCGAAGAAGAGTCGAGCAGTTGCTTCAGCTGTAGCTGTGGCGTTGGTCGGTATGAAGTGACCCATTTTGGAGAACTTGTCGATGACTACGAGGATGGAATCGTGTCCCCGTGAGGTCGAGGGAAGTCCTGTGATGAAGTCGAGACTAACGACCTGCCATGGCTGCTCCGGTACGGGTAGAGGCTGAAGTAACCCTGCTTTCTTCTGCTTGCTGCTCTTCATCCGCTGGCACGTGTCGCAGGAGGTGACGAACTGCTGTACGTCTGCTGCCATCCGAGGCCAGTAGTAATACTTTGCTATTCCCGCTAACGTCTTGTTGCTCCCGAAATGTCCCGCGTATGGTACGTCATGAAACTCCTCCAATAGGATCTGCCGTAGCGGGGCGTAATTCGGTACCCAAATCTTTCCTGAACCCTTCCTTACCGCTAAGTCTTTCTCCCACTGTAACAGCTTCTGCTTCTCTGCCGTTGCTATCTCGCCGTCCACGGAGTACCCATGCTGGAATAGACCCTTGAGCAGAGGGTTCATCCCGTCAAGCTGGATGCCTGCTACATGACCGGGGCGGCTCAACGCGTCTGCCTTGTTGTGTAGCCCGGGCTTGTAGACGATGTCGTAGTGGAAGTGGGTCTCCAAGAAATCCACCCACCGCACCTGTCGTCGTGAGAGCGTCGGCTGCGACTTCAAGTATTTGAGGCTGCAGTGGTCTGTATAGACTGTGGTCTTGGCTCCCTCTAGGTAACACCTCCACGCTTTGAAGGCTACGACTATAGCTAAGGCTTCCTTGTCGTGGATTGGGTAATTCAGTTCTGCTCCGTGTAGCTTCTTACTGAGGTAGGCGATAGGCTGTAAACCGTTCCCGTGATCCTGCATCAGTACTGCTCCGACTGCCTGGTCACTAGCGTCTGCTTCAACTACGTAGTCCTTGTCGGGGTCCGGTAGGATGAGTACTGGTGCTGTGGTCAGTGCTGTTTGTAGCTGTTCCATGGCTTGCTGATGAGGAGCACCCCATTTGAAGGGCGTGTCCTTTTTCAGTAGGTCGGTCAGTGGCGCTGCTATCTTAGCGTATTGTGGTACGAACCTGTTGTAGTAATTGGCGAAGCCGAGGAACTGCTGCAACTCTTTCACGTTCTCCGGAACCTTCCACTTTTTAACGGCTTCGATTTTCCGCGACTCCACGTGTACGCCCTTGGCACTCACCATGTGCCCGAGAAACTGCACCTTTTCCAGTGTGAAGTCTCTCTTTGACAGCTTCACGTAGAACTTATTTTTCCGCAGGATCTCGAACACCTTCCGCAGATGCTCCACGTGCTCCTTCATGTTCTTGGAGTAGATGAGAATGTCGTCCAGGTACACCACTACGCACTCGTCCAACAGGGGCCGTAGGATGTGGTTCATCTCCGCCTGGAACGTCGCTGGTGCGTTGCAGAGTCCGAACGGCATCACCAAGTATTTGTAGGAGCCGTATCTCGTACGGAACGCCGTTTTGTGGATCGAGTTGTCTGCCATCTTGATCTGCCAGTAACTTGACCGTAAGTCCAGCTTCGAGAAGACTGTTGCACCACGCAGTTGGTCTAGTAAGTCGTCGATGCGCGGTATGGGGTATTTGTTTTTTACTGTCTGTTTGTTCAGTGCGCGGTAGTCGATGCACATCCGTAAACTGCCGTCTGGTTTCGGTGTGAAGAGAACTGGTGCGCCGTAGGGAGAGGTGGATGGTCGGATCAGTTGTCTGTCCAGTAGATACTCGATCTGTTTTTTCATGTCTGTCAGCTCGGTCGGACTCAGTCTGTATGGTGCTCGTGAGACGGGTTTCACACCTGGTTCCTCCACGATCTCGTGCTCGTGGGTGCGTGCAGGAGGTACGCCTGCAGGTAGGTCGTTGGGCATAATATCTGTGTACTGCTCCAAGACCTTTTTTACTGCTGCGGGTAGCTCGGAACCCGGTTTCACCTCTTCTGCTGCTGCCATGACCAGTGCTAAGTAACCCGTGTTGCTCTCGTTCACCGTCTGTTCGAACCGTGCCAGTGTCATTTCAGGAATGTCCCCTGTATCCGTCCAGCTTCGCAGTGCTATCCGCTTCCCGTTGTTGTAGATGCACACTTTGCTGTTGACCCAATCGATCTCAGGGTTGAACCGCTTCAGGAAATCTCGCCCCAAGATGAAATCTAACCCTTTGATGTTGGTAACAGGTAGCTTCGGCTTCCATCTCAACGCACCTATATGCAGCAGTAAGGTTGCTTCGCCGTGGATGGGAAGCTTCGTACCGTCCACCATGGTTGCTGAAAACTGGGTCTCCTCCGCCTTCTCTCCAATTTTCTCCAATGTTCCGCGGTCACATACTGAGTGAGATGCACCGCTGTCCACCATTGCCTGGAGGCGTCGCCCATTGCATAACACCTCGAGGAGTAGTGGTTTCTGCTGCGCTGAGTAGCCAAAGAGGGTCTCATTAATAGGATCATAGGGTACATCAAGATGAATACCTTCCCTATTTCCTGTACCTGACTCAGCACTTTCTGATTTCACCTGAGGGGTAGGAGGATTTTTCCGAGGCTTGTATAATTTCTCCTGAGCCTGGATGTCTCCTCTAAGCCTTTGCAGCTGTGTAGGCTTCACCTGTGGGCAACGGGGAGCCTTAACACCATGCTGCGGGGAGAGAATATTAACACCACGGAACGCACGACCCTTTTCTACGCTCCGTAATACTTTGCCCATATTTGCAGGTACCTGAATAATTTCTAAAGGCTTTTTCTTGGCCTCTAACTCTCCCCTGAATTTTCGAAGGCTTGAAAACCACGAGAAGCAATATTTTTCGTTAGAGTATCTTTATAGGATACTTTTAACGAATTCTTACTTTCGTGGGGGTCCGGCTGGAGTTTCCCGGTCGGTGCAGAGTCTTTTTTCGCGGAGCCACCAGTTGCCTCGGCGATTTCCCCTGATGCCGGCCGGTCGTGACGTTTTATATTCGCGCCATCATTTTCTCCTTTTTTCGCCCGCTCCGTAGTCGCCACGTCGTCGTCCTTTTTCGCTTTTCGGATCTTTACGCGATCGCCAGTTCGATCCGCGGCTACTGGCGATTCCCGTTTTTTTACTTCGGGGGTGCTGCACTGTTACCGCCCTGCATGATCGCACGTACTTTCTTCATTTTGTAGCACGACAAAATCTGATGCCCTGCTGCGCCGCAAAATTCGCATTTGGTCGGCTGCTGCTTCGCGTCGATTTTGTCGATATCCATCGGTTCGGCGAACGTGGGGGGTGCCGATCGCTCCGTGCCGAATGTACGGTTCGGCCCGAAACGTCGTGTTTCGGGTTGAATTCGGGTCAGCGCGTCGTAACTCTCGGCTGCACGCACGATGTCCCTGTAGCGATCGTAATTCATCGCGATCACCTGCCGCCGAATCTCCAATTTTAACCCTTCCGTATACGCCTGGAGTTTTTCGCCTTCGGTCAGGTCGGGGATGCGGGTGAACAGGAGCTCCATCTGCTGCGTGTACTGTGCTACACTACTGTACTGCTTGTGCCGATGAATTTGTTGCCGCGCCATGTAGGTGGTATTAATTGGTTCGAAACGCCCGATTAATTCTGCCCGAAACTGCGTCCACGTTTTCTCCCCGCGGGCCACGTCAGTGTTGTAGATCCACTCGAGTGCTGGTCCGCGTAACAGTGTCGCTGCGAGCCGGATTCGTGTCGCGTCGTGTGTCGGGGTCGAACAGCCAATGGCCTCGAAGTAAATTTCGAGGATTGCCACGAAACGCCGGACGTCGGATCCCTTCGCGCTTGGATCGAACGCCTCCGGGAGCCTCGGTCGTGCTGCTTCAAGGTTCGGCGTCGGTGGTGCCATCCTTGAAAAGTCGGTGTCGCCACTGCTGCTGGAGTTGTCGGTGCTGCAGTCGTTGCAGTCGCTGCTGCTGTCGTGGCGAGCGCCGGATTGTGGTTTGTCAGAAACGCCTCGAGTCGACGAAGCGTCGCCTGCGTCTGCTCCATGTCGGTGCGGAGGCTCGCGACGTCGCTCGTTGTCGCGTAGTTGTCGCCCTGGCCTTCCATGCCTGACATTACGCGTCCGAAAAACCGAATCGAGGAGGAGCGGAAAAACACGGAACCGGTTTTACGTACCCGAAATCGATGTTTAACTGCGTCGCCCCCGCGGTTTTTTGAAGACTGGTTGTGAGCGGTCGAAAGAACTTCGCGTGTAAACGAGCTCTGATTACCAAGTGTGAGGATCGAGGATCGAGTTCAGAATCGAGAATGAGAATTGATTGATCACCTGGGTACAACACGAGGCTATATATAGGGCTCGACACAAGGGAGGTAACCAGGTGTTACGAGAAGGTTCTGCGGGTCGCGAAGCGTCCCGAACAGACCCTTCCCGAATTCGGTAGAAAGCAGTTCGGTGGCAACCGAATAGCTCCGAATTCGGTGTAACCTAGCACGGTGCTTATAACTATAATAATTATAGGAAAGCACCTAGCCTAGGAATCTATCAATTCATGCATGCAGAAATTAAACCTAAGCTAGCAGTAGCGTAAGGTAATGAAAGCAAGCATGAATAACAAGCATAAGCCGTCGTACTCTCAGAGGCGACTAGCATGGACACGAGATGGGGCAAAGCAGCAGCAAAGCACTAGAACTCCTCCTGTCTGTCCTCAAGGACGTCCGTGCCAAGAGCACACTCACCCCCGACGGACGGAGGACAGACAGACTCAGACTCAGCAACAAGGCTAGCGGCGTAGTCTAGACGACACCTGGCAGCAAAGTCAACCAACTCAGCGACCAGAGCAGACGTAGCAGAGGACTCAAAGGTAGGGTCAGTGACAACAGTGGCGAGGAGACGTGTGACAGTGGGACTGGCAGCACGATGGGAGTCAGACTCCGGGTCAGGAAGAGTAGGAAGAGAGGACGCAGGAGGAGACGGCAGAGGGACACGCTGGGGAGCAGTGGAGCGACGGAGCACCATCTGGTGAGTGCCTGGGACAGCAGGAGGACGCTGACGTGGGACACGACGACCAGTGCGAGCAGCACTAACAGGTGACGCAGAGCGAGACTCAGGCAACACAGGACGAGACTCAGGCTCACGACGCTCCGTAAGACCTCCTGTGGGACCAGTGTAAGGAGAAGGACCAGGGAGAGGCGAGGCAGGCGGTAACTATGACTGCGGCTGGACAGGCGGAGGACACTCGACGGAGGGAGGAGGACAAGGAGGAGGAGTCTGACCAAGAACCTGCTGAAGGAGCAGTACGAAGTACGGTCGCGGCCGCGCAGCGTCTCCAGAACCAGCAGAGACACCAGCGGCAGGGTCCTCAGCACCAGCAGCAGCTCCAACTCCAGGGTCCGCAGCACCAACAGCTGCTCCAACGCCCGCGTCCTCAACACCAGCCACAGCGCCAACTCCAGGGTCCGCAGCACCAGTAGCAGCTCCAACGCCCGGGTCCTCAGCACCAGCCACAGCGCCAACTCCAGGGTCCGCAGCACCAGTAGCAGCTCCAACGCCCGGGTCCTCAGCACCAGCCACAGCGCCAACTCCAGGGTCCGCAGCACCAGTAGCAGCTCCAACGCCCGGGTCCTCAGCACCAGCCACAGCGCCAACTCCAGGGTCGTCAGCACCAGTAGCAGCTCCAACGCCCGTGTCCTCAGCACCAGCCACAGTGCCAGCTCCAGGGTCCACAGCACCAGCAGCAGCTCCAACGTCCGGGTCCTCAGCACCAGTCACAGCGCCAACTCCAGGGTGCGCGACACCAGGAGCGCCACTCCGAAGGCTGCAGCGCCGCGTGTACCACTCTCGGATCTGCTGAAGGGAGGGGAGCTCCTGGCCAGGAGGGAAAGCACTAGTACCTCTCCTGAGGCTGCAGTACTGTAAGTACCTCTCCTGCAGCTGCTGCGAGGAGAGGGCTCCTCCAGGTGGAGCACTCCCAGGCTCAGCACCTCCAGACTCAGCACCCCCAGACTCAGCACCCCCAGGCTCAGCACCTCCAGGCTCAGCACCCCCAGACTCAGCACCCCCAGACTCCGCACCCCCAGGCTCCGCAACCGCAGGCTCCGCACCCTCACGCTCAGCACCCGCAGGCTCAGTACCCCAAGCAGGACGAGAGTCGACAGCTACCTCGACAGGCTCAACCGGGTCTACCTGGGACACACCTGAGGGAGCGGCACCCTGAGGGGGGAGGGGGTCTAGCACAGCAGCACCTGGAGCGAGGAAGAGAGGCGGGGGGGGGGGGGAGCGGGGCAGTGCGGTAGGGAAAGAGGCGGTAGTAGGGGACGTACTCGTCGAAAGTAACGTCCTGAAAGGACAGGACACGGCGCGAGGTGACGTGGTAAAACTGCCAACCAGGTGCGTCAGGGACAAAGCCAAGGAAGACACAAGGAACAGCGCGAGAGGAGAGCTTGTCCGCGGACGTATCGCGAACAAAAGCTCGGGATCCCCAGACCCGAAAACGCGACGCATCGCCAACCTCTCCCATCCAACGCAGTGTCGGAGAAGTCTCAGGCAAGGAGACACGGGGCCAGAGGTTGAGCTGATGCGCAGCGTATCGGACCGCAAACGGCCACAGAAAGTGGGGGGCAGCCGCATGGATCAAGGAGGTACGAGCGACCTCCATGACCAAGCCAATGCGGCGCTCAGCAACCCCATTCTGCTGTGGAGAGGCTGGAAGCGTGAACGACTGCTCAATGCCGTGCTCTGCACAGTAGGCTGCCAAGAGGTCGGAGGAGAACTCACCACCTTTGTCAGAGTGCAAACGCAGGACAGGAAAGTCCGAGCGAAAACGCTCGCTGAGCTGGAGACGAGCTCTGCGGATCCAAGGGATCAAGACAGCAGGGACCTCACCCTTGGTGCGCAAGGGGAAGACCATGGTGTAGCGCGAGTAGTCGTCAACAACAATCAGGAAGTACCTCTCCTGATCCTGTCCACGGACGCGGGCTGGGCCCCACACGTCCAGGTGGAGCGTCTGCAAGGGAGCAGTCATCGGGGGAAAGGAGGAGTGAGGAGCGGCGCGCTGCCGCCCCTCGACACAGGGAAGACAGGGAGGCGCAGGCGAGGGTGGGAGGGGAGGGAGAACCCTGGGAAGACCAGAGACAAGGTGCCGTTTGTGCATGGCACGAAGGCGCTGCACAGACGGGTGACCAAGTCGGTGGTGCCAGAGGACGGTCTCGTGCGCCAGAGAGCGACACGAGCAGGGGGGCGACAGCTGACCTGACGCAGACGCGGACGCGGCTACCTGAGGGGACTCAGTGGTCAGTGTGTACAGGTCCGACCCCGGCTGCCGAGTGAAGGTAGCCAGGTGACGGCCCGTCCGAGCACACGTGCAGTGTGTCACGCGCTCGTAGGCAGGAGTGAACTGGTGAACACCCCCGTCCTGGAGCGCACAACCCGCCACCAAGTTCGTAGAGAACGAGGGGAGGTGGAGACCCGACAGTGTGCCCGACGGGACCGCAGGACAAGGAAGGACAGTGGAGGAGGTCGCAATGACCGGACCCCCAGAGGGGTCAGCGAGGGAGACAGCAACTGGCCGAGCGAGTGGCTCAAGGACAGTGCGGTCACGAAAGAAACAGCGAGAAGCACCTGAGTCCAGTGTGAAGGTGTGCAGTGCCGCAGTCGACTCAGTACCAGGGGGCACAGACTCACTAGCACCTAGAGCAGCAGCCTCACCAGCACCTGAGGTAGCAGACACGCGAGTACCTGGAGTGGCAGTCTCACTAGCACCTAGAGCGGCAGCCTCACTGGTCCGAATGCCCGGGTCGGGCGGAACACGCAGGTACTGAGCACCCTCTCCACTAGTAAACATCACATACATGGCAGTGAGAATAGCATCAAAGTCTAGTGCATAGATATCAACTCCCTTCCTCATCAGATCAGCCCAGCGGGGCAGCTCAGTGGCATCAGGGAACTGAGTGCGCCAAGCGTCGTGAAGGTGAGAGAAACAGCGTTGCGTGGGGTGCGGCCTCCCACACGTCTGACCAGTGCGGTCACCAGTGCGGATGACGTACGTGCAGCTAAACCCACCTGCCCCCCCCCGCTGCGAATACCACTCACGGGCCTCCTGGAGCGACGGAGTGTGCTGCTGGCTCAGACCACCGCCAGCGCCTCCACGACCACCACCGCCGCCGCCACCTCCTCGACCACCCCCTCCCCTGCCGCTGCCACGACCACCGCCGCCCCCGCCACCGCCCCCGCCCCTGCCACCGCCCCCGCCGCTGCCGTCACCACCCCCACTGCCGCCACTAGCCTCTCCAGCCCCACCACCACTCCCATCGCCTCCACCCCCGCCTCCCCCGCCGCCACCTCCACCCTTGCCCCCTCTGTTCCTGCGGCGCTCGCTCGGAGCGGACGCAGTCCCGACCTTCTCAGCACCAAGGAGGTCGACAGCAGAAGCAGAGGCTACAGAGGGAAGAAGGGGGGAAGGGGAACACCCCTCAAAGAAAGGGGTGCGGGGGTCGCCACGAGAGGCACCTACAGCGACGATGCTCGCCTCAGCTGCAAGTAGTTCCTTCTCGAGGAGGGCAATGGTGAGCTCAGTGGGGCAGCGAGCTAGGAAGTGATCCCTGACTGCGCGCAGAGAGTCAGGGAGGCGGGTGACGATGTGGTAGAGAGTGAGCCAGAGCGGGGGGGGGTTCCTAGCAAGGAACTCATCGGGCATAGCAGCACGGAAGCGGGCCTCACTAGTCTTGAGGTGGGTGATGAGGTCAGCAACTGTGTGAAAGGAGGCCAGGTCGGGGAACAGGTAGGGGAGTGAGAGGCGGCCTAGTGCGGCAGAAGCAGGTGAGGAGTAACGAGCAACGACAGCAGTGTACAGTTCCTTAGCAGTCTTGTGCTGGCCAAAGTGCTCGCGCTCATCTATCGGCAGGGAGTTGCGAATAGCAAAGCGAGCGTGGGCGTCACGAGTCTGCCACTGTGAGCGGGCAGTGCTGTCAGCAGTAGTAGGAGGGGCAGTAGTATGGCCGAGGGCATGATCGTACAGTGAGACGTCCTCCTTGGCAGTGAGCTGTAGGAAGAGGTGCAGGTCATCTAGCCAGGTGTCAAATTTCACTGGGCGGCCCTCAGCATCGAAAGCTAGCACAGGAGGACTAGCCATAGTAGCAGCAGTAGTAGCAGTAGGTGCACCCTAAACGCAGTGGGCAGCGCGACGCAGGTAGGGCGGCTCGTTTCTGGTGGGGCCGTGGCTGTCGCGTGCGGGGCGTTAAGGGGCGGCAGGTAGGATCGACGGGGCCGCTAAGGGGCGGTGCGCGGGGTCGACGGGGCCAGAGAGGGCGGCGCGCGGGGTCGACGGGGCCGCTAGGGCCTCTAGGCGGGGCGCACGCTAGGTCGACGGGGCCGGCGGGGCCTCTAGGCGGGTCGCGAGCGGGGTCGACGGGGCCGGCGGGGCCTCTAGGCGGGGCGCGAGCGGGGTCGACGGGGCCGGCGAGGCCTCTAGGCGGGTCGCGAGCGGGGTCGACGGGGCCGGCGGTGTGAGGATCGAGGATCGAGTTCAGAATCGAGAATGAGAATTGATTGATCACCTGGGTACAACACGAGGCTATATATAGGGCTCGACACAAGGGAGGTAACCAGGTGTTACGAGAAGGTTCTGCGGGTCGCGAAGCGTCCCGAACAGACCCTTCCCGAATTCGGTAAAAAGCAGTTCGGTGGCAACCGAATAGCTCCGAATTCGGTGTAACCTAGCACGGTGCTTATAACTATAATAATTATAGGAAAGCACCTAGCCTAGGAATCTATCAACTCATGCATGCAGAAATTAAACCTAAGCTAGCAGTAGCGTAAGGTAATGAAAGCAAGCATGAATAACAAGCATAAGCCGTCGTACTCTCACACGTCCCCCCTCAAAGCTGGGTGGCGTGAGATACACCCTGCTTGACAAGATAATCCTTGAGAGCACGGCGTGCGTTGCCCATATCAGCTTCTGCAACCCAACTGTCCTCAGTGGGGTCATATCTCTTTCAGCGTATCAGGAACTCGAGGGTCTTGCCGCCGCGGCGCCGATGAGTGAGAACGCGCTCAATCTCGTACTCGGGTTCATCCTGCACAAGAACAGGTGGTGGTGGCGGTAGCTGCCGTCCCTGGAACTGTTGGTTGGGGTCTTTGTACGGCTTCAGTAGCTGAACATGGAAAGCGTTGTGAAGCTTCCACGTATCTGGTAAGCGCAAGCGGAATGTAACTGGTGTCACCTGTGCCTCCACGAGAAATGGACCACAGAAGCGAGGTCGGAGTTTGGATGGTAGGTGAGACAGGTTCAAGTTGCGCGTGTCAAGAAGCACCTGATCTCCGACTGCTACTGAGTGATCTCGTCGCTGACGATCGGCATACTGCTTCTGGGAGTTCTGCATCGTGGTGAGACGTCGCTGAGTCTTCTCCCATAGCTGTTGCATGGTGGTGACGAAGTCGTGTGCGGCTTGGACGTGTGCCGGTGTAGTTGGCTGCTGTGGGGTGAGTGGTTCCCGTCCGTAACACAGGAAGAAAGGTGTTTTCCCTGTGGCCGCATGCGAGGCGTTGTTGTAAGCGAACTCTAGGGTCGGTAACTGTGTGTCCCAGTGGCTGATGTCGTCCTTGCAAGCTGTGCGTAGTAACTGTTCAACCACCTGATTGAGTCGCTCTGTTTGTCCGTCAGTCTGGGGATGGTATGCTGAAGACATCGCAAGCTTAGTCCCCAACAGTCCCATAAGCTCCTTCCAGAACTTACTCGTGAATATTGGGTCTCTGTCTGAGATGAGTGTAGCGGGGATGCCGTGGATGGTGATGATGCGGTCGAAGAAGAGTCGAGCAGTTGCTTCAGCTGTAGCTGTGGCGTTGGTCGGTATGAAGTGACCCATTTTGGAGAACTTGTCGATGACTACGAGGATGGAATCGTGTCCCCGTGAGGTCGGGTGAAGTCCTGTGATGAAGTCGAGACTAACGACCTGCCATGGCTGCTCCGGTACGAGTAGAGGCTGAAGTAACCCTGCTTTCTTCTGCTTGCTGCTCTTCATCCGTTGGCATGTGTCGCACGAGGTGACGAACTGCTGCACGTCTGCTGCCATCCGAGGCCAGTAGTAATACTTTGCTATTCCCGCTAACGTCTTGTTGCTCCCGAAATGTCCCGCGTATGGTACGTCATGAAACTCCTCCAATAGGATCTGCCGTAGCGGGGCGTAATTCGGTACCCAAATCTTTCCTGAACCCTTCCTTACCGCTAAGTCTTTCTCCCACTGTAACAGCTTCTGCTTCTCTGCCGTTGCTATCTCGCCATCCACGGAGTACCCATGCTGGAATAGACCCTTGAGCAGAGGGTTCATCCCGTCGAGCTGGATGCCTGCTACATGACCGGGGCGGCTCAACGCGTCTGCCTTGTTGTGTAGCCCGGGTTTGTAGACGATGTCGTAGTGGAAGTGGGTCTCCAAGAAATCCACCCACCGCACCTGTCGTCGTGAGAGCGTCGGCTGCGACTTCAGGTATTTAAGACTGCAGTGGTCTGTATAGACTGTGGTCTTGGCTCCCTCTAGGTAACACCTCCACGCTTTGAAGGCTACGACTATAGCTAAGGCTTCCTTGTCGTGGACTGGGTAATTCAGTTCTGCTCCGTGCAGTTTCTTACTGAGGTAGGCGATAGGCTGTAAACCGTTCCCGTGATCCTGCATCAGTACTGCTCCGACTGCCTGGTCACTAGCGTCTGCTTCAACTACGTAGTCCTTGTCAGGGTCCGGTAGGATGAGTACTGGTGCTGTGGTCAGTGCTGTCTGTAGCTGTTCCATGGCTTGCTGATGAGGAGCACCCCATTTGAAGGGCGTGTCCTTTTTCAGTAGGTCGGTCAGTGGCGCTGCTATCTTAGCGTATTGTGGTACGAACCTGTTGTAGTAATTGGCGAAGCCTAGGAACTGCTGCAACTCTTTCACGTTCTCCGGAACCTTCCACTTTTTAACGGCTTCGATCTTCCGCGGGTCCACGTGTACGCCCTTGGCACTCACCATGCATGCAGCTTCACGTAGTCGCTCTTTGACAGCTTCACGTAGAACTTATTTTCCCGCAGGATCTCGAACACCTTCCGCAGATGCCCCACGTTCTCCTTCATGTTCTTGGAGTAGATGAGAATGTCGTCCAGGTACACCACTACGCACTCGTCCAACA